GCTACTAAAAATACAAAAATTAACCGGGTGTGGTGGCACGTGCCTGCAATCCCAGCTACTTGGGAGGGTGAGGCAGGAGAACTGCTTGACCTGGGAGGCTGACCTTGTAGTGAGCCGAGATTGTGTCATTGCACTCCAGCCTGGGCAACAGGGCAAGACTTCATCTTAAAAAAAAAACCCCAGGCCGGGCGCGGTGGCTCAAGCCTGTAATCCCAGCACTTTGGGAGGCCGAGACGGGCGGATCACGAGGTCAGGAGATCAAGACCATCCTGGCTAACACGGTGAAACCCCGTCTCTACTAAAAAATACAAAAAACTAGCCGAGCGAGGTGGCGGGCGACTGTAGTCCCAGCTACTCGGGAGGCTGAGGCAGGAGAGTGGCGTGAACCCGGGAGGCGGAGCTTGCAGTGAGCTGAGATCCGGCCACTGCACTCCAGCCTGGGTGGCAGAGCGAGACTCCGTCTCAAAAAAAAAAAAAAAACAAAAACCCTGCACTAACCTCAGGACTACAGTAAGGATAAAGCGAGATAATACATGTAAAGTGCTCAGACATAAGTGTTAACTTTGTCCTAAACAATGGAAAATGGTTGAACTGTTTAAGCCAGGGAGTGAGGCTCTCAGATGTGTTGAGAAAGTAAAATTCTGGCTGCTGTGTGGGGAAGAATACAAATGTTCCCCTGCCTGTCTCATGCCACTTCCCTTTCTTCCTTTCCTAATATCTATTCAAACCGTAGACTTTTTTTTTTTTAAGATGGAGTTTCACTCTTGTTGCCCAGGATGGAGTGCAATGGCGCGATCTCAGGGTTACAACCTCCCCCTCACGGGTTCAAGCAATTCTCCTGCCTCAACCTCCCGAGTAGCTGGGATTACAGGCATGCTCCTGCCTCTTTCCAATGGAACCCTTCACCTTAGGTCCCACCCTTAAGCCTTTTGTTTACCGCTAATCACTGAATGCTCTACAGATGAGTTAAGTCCCTTTGGTCTCAACCAACAACACTTTCCTCAGGCCTTTTCTAAAATAGTTTCCACCATTATTTCAGGAGTATCTTGTTAGTTTCTTAGACCCACCATTTGTTTACTTGATTTTTTTCTTTCTTTTTTGGTGATACCCCACAGCACTGCACAATAAGGGTAAGGGCGGGCCATGTCTCTTTACTTTCATTTCTCTGGCAAATAATATGTGGCCTGGCCCATAGTATTAATAGATACTGAATGTATTCACTGAGTAAAAATGATGCCTTATATTAATGCTAAATGCACTTCTAAATGTACTTCTCTCCCTTAATTGTAAATTCCTAGAAGACAGAATCCATTAAATACTAGTTTTTGTTTTTGTTTTTGTTTTCGTTTTTCTTTGAGACAGAGTCTTGCTCGGTCGCCCAGGCTGGAGTGCAAAGGTGCGATCCTGTCCCACTGCAACCTCCACCTCCCAGGTTCAAGCGATTCTCCTGCCTCAGCCTCCTGAGTAGCTGGGATTACAGGCGCTCATCACCATGCCTGGCTAATTTTTATATTTTTAGTAGTGACAGGGTTTCAGCATGTTGGTTAGGCTGGTCTTGAACTCCCGACCTCAAGTGATCCACCTTGGCTTCCCAAAGTCCTGAAATTACAGGCGTGATCCACCGCGCCCAGCCCAAATATTAATTTTGAAGTTTTCTTACAATCTAGGACATTGCCAGAATAGCTGCTGGCTGTCTTGAGTTGGAGTCATTACTCATGGATGCATCCCCAGTGCCTATGTGTTCAGTGGCACATAGGAGGCACTGAATAAGCATTTGCTGAATGAATTAATGAATTCAACACTTTTGATTACCTGGTCCCATCCAACTTTTCCCTTCATCCTTCCAACATAAATTTTTTCTGTCTGTGTCACCTTTGGTGGAAAACGTCCTGAATCCCTTAGTACTAAATGGAACACCCAGTCCATTCAGTGCTGTCGATAAAACAAGTTAACACCCATTGTGGAGGAGCGATTGGGCCAGAGTCTTGTTCCTTAGTTCGTTATCTCACCACAATGCAGAGCTCCAGAGAGGGCTGCTTTTCTCTCTACTCCAAAGGTGAACACAGACCCTTCCTCATTATCCCACATCACTACTGAGACCAGAATAACATGTTCAATGAAACCTGCTCGAAGGTTTTTGAGTAAGGAAATAATATAAGGAGAATAACTTAAAATAGGTCACTGGATTTAGCTGCTTTCGGAGCCCAGAGGCCTGAAAATATCCTCAGCTCATGCTTTCTCCCCACCAAAACTACACACTTGGGCTCTTCCAAGTTCAGCTCCCAGGGAACCCCACCTGGCAGGAGGAAGATATTTCATTTCCTTCTAAAGCTCACATTTCAAGATCCCACCCTGCCCTAAAATATGCCTCTTTTTTGGGTGACTGACATTGGGAATGTCTACTCCCTTCTAAGGATATACACCACAAATTAAAGGGAATGGCCTTTATCCTCCAGTGTATACTGAAGCTTGAAATGTACTTGGCATACAGTGGGCCTTGGAAAAATTGACTGAATCACTCGAATCACTTTGCTTCCCTGGTGCAGATGTTACGTTACACTAACATCTTTTGTTCCATGATGGAAATCAGCAATGTGTGTGCCTCTTGGCTTTGACCCTTCCTTCTGCATCTTCCTTTGCCTTAATTTTTAAAGTGCAGCAGCATGAGCGCACTTTAAAGTTTGGTGGCATAGAATTTTACTGGCTATGTGAACATTTAGTGATTAATCACTGGAACAAAGGAGAAACCCAAATATTTCAATTTTGTTCATCCACAACACGTAGTAACCATCAACTGGAACTACCTGGAAATACACAGGAACAGAGTGCTCTTGCAGGGTGCTTAAAAACACCATCTATGCAATCTGTGGGATCAGGCAGACCTGGGTTAGAATCCTGACTCTGCCATTTCTTTGCTTCAGTTCTTCAGCTTTGGACTCTTGAGCAAGGCACTTAACCACAGTAATCTCATTTCCCCATCTAAGATATGAAGATCATGATAGTATCACTTTATAAGGATGGTTTATAAGGGGTTTAAAGCACAGATAATACATGTAAAGACTGGTACTTAGCAAGCATTTGGTAAATATTAGCTGCTATTATATCACCCCATAGGCTGAAATGCTGCATATTACCACTACTACATGGGCATTTTCAAGCAATCTAAGAGGCACCCAGGAGTTGTCAATTTATCTTTATTCCTTTATTTAATCCTCCCCATGTATTATATAAGCTTAGGTATATAATTTCTATTACATAAAG